GGTCTTGAGTTGCAGAGGTTGAGGATATCATGTTTGAGGAAAATGTCGGTACAACTAATATGTGATGCACCCAGTGGGTCATGCAATTAGTGTCTCAATCTCCAAGTGGGAGAATTTTTTAGCAATGTGGAAATCCGGTCCACCGCAATTTAATAAGCTCCTAATTAAGAATCTCACCTACCGCTCACCTACCTCCCACAAACCACTCTCCTAGTTTTTATAAATAGTTTTTTATGGATTGTCATAAGTTAAGCCACAAGCTAAGCAATGCCAAGCCAAGTCCTCTTGAGAGCTAAGAGAAAGAAAGGAAGAGAGAGAGGGAGGAAGGGAGAGAAGAAAATAGAGATTTTCTTGTAAACATCGATGCACTCGATGGTGTAATTCATCGAAGAAATAAAATCCTCTGCAGCTTCATGGACGTAGGCAAATTTGTCGAACCACGTAAATTTGTGTGTAGCTCTGGTATTTTTCTGCGTGCAATTTTACTCGTTCCATTTTTCGTTTTATTGTCGTCGTTTTTCACAACATAGCACGTATTAATATGTATGTAAGTCACTTATTAACTTTCAAGAACAGATTTAATTGTTCAATTTGAGGCAGTTTTTATATGTTCTAGTCGATCGATATCAAGATAGTCGACAAGTTGTTGAACCACTGCAGAGGTAATTCCTTGAGCGCCGTAAGGAATAAATAACACTTAAGGGCATCATTTATTTTTAACGTACAAACTACCAATTTGAAAAAGGTTACATGATCAACAGAATATGCCCCCCCCCCCCCCCCAGAACCTTGGGGAAGGGATTTTGAATTTATTGTGAGGTTCTACTTCATCCAGTTTCCTTGAGAATGGGTGCTACAATAATCTTTTCCTTCTTCTTTGTTCATCATCTGAGGACTCAGATATCTCCTCTTTAGGGACATTGGGCACATCGTTATCATCCTCTTTATCATCTAATGTCAGATTCATGGCTCTCCTTGCTCTGGTTTGAGGTAGTTATTATATTAGTGTTTGATGTCTTTATAGTCCTTGCTTTGCACCATTGATCCTGATGATCCCGTTCGAGTTCTCAAATGGCACTTGAAACGAGTTTTTGACACTTCTTGCCTTACTTCTTCTATCATTTTGTTCATTTGCTCTCCGAGCTCATTTACTTGTTGCTTCACAAATTCTCTAGTGCAATCCATCATTATTTTTCACTATTCTCTGACTAAACGATCTTCTTTGTTGAATTTGAAAGTGAGTTACATGCTCACCACATCTTTTAGAATGTAGAATTCCCGTGAGACATATGATCTCGTGTAACTCATGAACTCATACAATCTGGGAGAGACCTCATGAGAAAAGTTGGAAAATTTTGAGAGATTTTTTAGAAGGAAAGAGAGTTCGGGAGAACTAGAATCAGATCCTCTCTCTTCTCCCCTATTGCTTCATATTTGCACACCATAGAGCCTATGTGCCCATTCAGGGATTTAAGGAATAATTTTTTTTTTTTAAAAAAGTACGTTATGGGTTGTACAACACGTAACCTGAGTAAATTTGTCGTTGTCAAGATCACAGGTGTGGGCATCAGGTGGCCAATAAATGGTTACATATATGATTATGATTAAAATTCTCTTATTTTGCTTCAAAGAAATGTTCATCGAGTTCGACGATGTAGCCAAGTAGTGACAAACAAGCATAATAAGAGGATTCAATTAGTACATGCGAGCTTAGAAAAAGGACTCTAGAAATGTGAGTGAGCTCGGTTGGATTAGCTCGCCTAAAGACTTAAGCTTAACGAGCCCAGTTGAAGGAACTCATGTGAATGCTGACGAGATTTGGTGGTATTCAAGGGACCCTTTTAGAAGTCAAGAAGCCCAATAGTTTTCCATCTCCAAAGGTATGACTATCAAGTACGATTAGCTTGGTCATAAGTAGACCATTAATCAATCCATTTGGTCTGTGATGCCCATCTAATATGTGAGCTTCCTTGTTGCTTATAGATACTCATTTTTAAAACGCGCGCGCACGCACACACACACACACACACACACACACACAC